CACGAAAACGACCAGGACGAGCACCAAACATCGGCTCCTGGAGACAGACACAAAGGGGCAAAAACCGCGAAATCAGAAGTTGGAGTTCGAGGAAATTGGCGTAATAACCCAGAACGTTCCATTGAAGAATAGACATCGACGAGAAGAGAAAGGACAACAACAGAGAACAAGGTAGAAACAAAGGCAAAAGAGCAACATAGCACGTTAAAGAAGATCAGGGTCGGAATCAGGGTCAGCAAAGTCAGGGTTAGGGGGCATGGGTAAACTAAGCAAAGACGGAGGGAAGAAAGCGGGAGAACAGACCAGAGGTGGGCAGGTGGGGTCCGGAGGAGGAGGAAGGAGGAGGAGACAATGGAGAGGAGCAGTCAAGGAGAGCAGCAGGAAGAGGGGGAGTACAAAGAGGGGAGCGCACCTCAGCAAGGGCAGCAACTGAGAGGGAAGCGGGGGCCAAAGAAACCTCCATAGCAGGAACGGGGCGCAACCACCAAAACGGGACGGGAAGGAGCAAGAGTGTCAGTAGTAGGGGCCGAGGAAGAAAGCGAAGCCTTCTTACCCACCAGGGAGGAGGAAGGAGAGGAGCCAGGCTTACGCTTCTCACTTAAAGTGACCGGTGGGATTCCAGCGTCTCAACAGGAGAAGCTGAACGAGAGCACACATGACAGCCGCTAGGAGAGTGATGGACATCAGCCTGCACTGACAGGCGGCGGGGAGAGTCAATAGACGGAGGAGAAGGATGGGAAGGAGGATCGGAGGGAGACGAGGAAGAAGACACAGGAGACATGACAGACCAGGTAGAAAGAAGGGGAACCCCAGACAGAGGACCAGGAGGGGGACCCTTCAGGACAGAACTCAAAGGAACAGAGGAGGGGGCAGTGGGCGTATCAGGGTCCAAGGCCCAGAAACGGTTGAGAGTCTGAGGAAGGTGGGAAGGACGAGGAGAGGAAGAGCGCAACACGAGAGGAAGAGCGCAACACGTGAGCATAAGAGACGTTAGCATAAGGCGGAAGCCGGCGAACCTGGCGCCTCGCCTCAGGAAAAGATAAACGCTCCTGGTGCTTCAAGTTGAGGACAGCTGCCTCAAGCTTGTAATGGATACACACACTGGAGAAGATAGGATGGGCCTCACCACAGTTGAGGCAACGAGCCCGGGGAGAAGTGCACTCCGACTTAAGAGTGACCTTCGCCCCCACACAAAGGACAGAGAGAGACAGTCCCAGAGCAGCGGAGGGCACCATGCCAAAACCTCCAGCACTTGTTACAGAACCTAGGAAAAGGAATGTACTCCTGGACAGAGCACCTGGCACCAGCAAGAATGACAGAGGATGGAAGGGTCCTACCATCATAGGTAATCTTCACAACCCGAAGGGGTTGACGGCGACGACCACGAGGGGGACGAGTAAACGTGTCCACCTGGAGGACATAATGGCTCTGGGCATCGAGCATATGCCGAATATCATCGCGGCAGTTCTGCAGATTCTGAACACTGGTCGCAACATGGGGCGGGAGGAGAATAGTGCCAACACTGGCATTCAACCGAGCGTTCTTTGAGACCCGAACAGGGGTCTCGCCAAGGCAGGATAAGGCAGCCAAGCGGGAAGCTGCATCCTGAGTAGGAGCAGCAACGACACGTGTACAGAGACGAGTGGGGTTGAAGGTAACAGAGGCATCCACGGAATCAACAAGATGCTGATGGAGGGAGAAATTGTCAGGAGGCGCAGAATCAAGAGGGAGGAGATCAAAGTATTTGGCCCACGAAGCAGGACCAAACAAGGCTTGATAGGCATCAGAACGGGAAGGAATCGAGCGAGTGCGGCCGTGTCGAGGACCCCCAGAGAGAGAGAAAGAGAGAGAGAGAGGGGGGTTAAAAGGCGCAGTAGTTACAACTAGAAATTGAGCCATGCCAGGGGACGAGGTAGTCACCACTGGGGGCTTGGGGCTCGACCCAACCACAGAGGAGGGAGGGGAGCCGAGGGGAGTAGTTAGAGTGGCCAAAGGAGGAGCAAGGTCGGGGCCCAATGCAGCGGAGGCTACAGAGCCCGGTCTTCCAACACGGACCAACTCGGGGGCTTGGTCGCCCACCCCACGAGCCTGAGAAGGTAAAGGAGGAACAGAATACAACATGGGTACGAAAAAGAAACATTCATTCACAAATGTGCCCCCACACCCACCATGGAGCCACAATTAGAGGCAGGACACCCAACAAGAAGCTAGCGCCGATCACGCCGGGGCCACCCAGGGGTGCGGCGTGAGTATACGCCCCACAAACGCCACCTTAAGAACCGTCAGTCCGTCGAGATCGAGTTCAGTGAAGAAAGGGGGATTGACAATGAAAGGTTCCCCTCACTCACGACGTTGGGTACTACAGTTGTACAGGTGCAAGAGTATGCCTCCTCAAGCACCCGGGCGTCAAAATAGAAGTAGTCCAAAGGAATAACCAAAACAAGCAAAACGTCGACAGGAAACGACAAGCAGATAGGAGAAGAGGGGGAGAAAAACAAAACAGAAGGAAAAGGAAAAGTTGTTCAGCACAATTTGAGAGGACAGCAGCAGGAGCACAAGGCTAGAAAAGGACAGAGGACTGTCCCAAGGAGCATCACACTCCGGCAGCCGCCCACTAAGCCCCCCTCACGGCATCAACGAGCTGAACGGGGAGGGGGGTCCAAAAAGCTAAACATGTTAAAGGTTCCCTTTCTTCCCTTCCCCAGCCCTAAGGGGCACCCCTCTCCCTTTCATAACATCCCGATATCTACGTCCCCTTCCCGACAAAATCCGAGTCGTCTGATATTTAAGTTAATTCATTTACATCAACAAATAAACCATTGCCTAACTTGCTCTAAACTCCCACTGTAATTAGCCTCTAAGTCATAGACGGCGGCCTTCGTCGCCTTTGCTGGCTGTACACATGTGATCTGGCTTGGTCTAGTAATTATATACTGCTGAATCTTACATCTGGCCTGGAGTCATAGTCCACGGAGCCGTTTAAAAGGCAGTTTGTGCTAGAAGAGCATGTGTGCCCATATACCCAGGAGCATGTGTGCCCATATACCCAGGAGTATGTGTGCCCATACACCCAGGAGTATGTGTGCCCATATACCCCAAGAGCATGTGTGCCCAGGAGCATGTGTGTGCCCAGGAGCATGTGTGTGTAACAGGTTCAACGCATAATCCCACCACTGCCACCATTGTACCATGTGTAGCATTGACTTATTGATTGTATCCTCACCACTCACGTACAGGTAGACACCATGAAATATGAACCCCGCTCACCCTTACAGTGGCACGTACACACACACACACACACACACACACACACACACACACACACACACACACACACACACTGCTTATTCCACATGAGTGGATAGTTAGGACCCCGTGCTAAAAGATAACTACCTGAATACTATAAGGCTAATTAATAGCAAGATCCCAATATTGTTAATGCTGCCACCGCTCCTCATTAAGGTAATTAATATGATAATTACTGTACCTGGTAGCGTCCTGGCCCCGAGGGAGAAGGACGAGAACCCTGACTCTTGATAATTATTAGGGCAATTATGAGTTATTACTTTCTGCTTGTTGATACTGTAATTACTTTAGATATATAAAACACTTTGGAACTCATTGAATATCGCCAAGAACCAAGCAACCTCAAGATCATATATTTCTCAAATAAGACACTGACGGAAGAGAGAGGGAAGTGCCTGGCGGCCAGACATAGCCTCCAGAGAGGTAGAACTCCTAGGAGAGCTGGAGGTTACAGGGGTCGAGAGGCCTAGTGTATCTTCTTAATGGTTTTATGAGGCCTTTGACTCTTGTCAACCAAATATATCGTACTTCGTTTTGTGACTTGACATGACTGGAAATGGAGGGGAGTATAAGGAAGGAAAGAAGGAAGGAAGGGGAGGGAGGGAGAGAGAGAGATAGATAAAGAGAGAATTAGAAAAATAGAGGCATCGACAGGAATTATATACTTGAACCTTAAGATAAATCATGCTTTAAGCTCATACACAAGATTTGACCTTAATTCCAGAGAGGGAGGAGCTTTAACAGGTTGAAGTAGAAGACCAACTATTCCTATCGCTGCCTTCCTATGTTTCTAATTTCTCTCTGCTGAATAAGAGGAATGTAAGGGTGAGCGAGATTCTTATTTTATTGGTATCTACATGGGTGGCGTGGATACCATTAATAAATTAATGGGACCCATGATACAGTGGTACTAGACATTACAGATATGCTCCTATACCCTGGAGATTCTGTGCCCTGGGGCGTCCTACCCAATGGTGCAGCTTCCCTACGCCACAAGGAAAACATCACGTAGAAAGACTCCTGACGAGGATAAACTGGAATCGATTACACGGAGTCTTCAATTTAATATAACACATATCATGCAAGAAAATGCACTCTGATAACAGCTGTTCTTGGCTCCGTCCAGTAATATTTCCTAAGCAAATCACGATGCATTTTCGTCAGTAGCAAGCGGTGATAGACTCCGCCTATCAGTGCTTCGTAACCAATCACAATCCACCTCCTTAGCTGTGACTGGCTCCGTTCTTCAACAGTCGCCCGAGCCAAGCAGGTGTCGCCAAAAATTTATCACACAGCCAATGAAATGGCAGCTGGAATCTTATTATTTAGCCAATCAGGTGGCAGTTAGAATCTATCATAGAAAATGGTCATCCCGATTAAATATTGCCATTTTCTCTGAATGATGGTTGCGAGGGGCGGGCCAAAAACAGCTGATGCGGGTGACCACATGACTGGGCGCCATTGATCAAGGTAACTGTGCCGTGCGGCAGGCAACATGCAACGAGACAGGGTGAGGGGGAGGGGAGGGGGTGTGCCGCAGAGGGTGAGCAACGGAGAGAAAGGTGTGGGAGAGCACTGAAGACAACACAGAGTGGGGGGAGGAGACTGGTGCCTGAGGTGAGAGTGCAGGGGTGAGAGGCTGTGAGTGGGGGAGAGGGGAGACACGACGCACGCATATGGGGAGAGAGACGCACTGGGGCGAGCCTGGGGCGGGCGTGGGCGTGGGCGTGCCGCGGGTGTGGCTGTCGACAGGGACATGAGTGTGTGGACGGCCGGTACCCGCGGTCGGCCTACGGTGTTCCACTTGCCTGGTTGAGGCGGCTCCGGCTCGGGGGGTGGTGTCTGGTCTGCTGAGGAGGGGAGCAGGGTGAGAGGCAGGGTGAGGGGTGGGGGAGCAGGGTGAGGGGTGGGGGAGCAGGGTGAGGGGTGGGGGAGCAGGGTGAGGGGTGGGGGAGCAGGATGAGGGGTGGGGGAGCAGGGTGAGGGGTGGAGGAGCAGGGTGAGGGGTGTGGGAGCAGGGTGAGGGGTGTGGGAGCAGGGTGAGGAGCAGGGTGAGGGGTGTGGGAGCAGGGTGAGGAGCAGGGTGAGGGGTGTGGGAGCAGGGTGAGGGGTGTGGGAGCAGGGTGAGGGGTGGGGGAGCAGGGTGAGGGGTGTGGGAGCAGGGTGAGGGGTGGGGGAGCAGGGTGAGGGGTGTGAGAGCAGGGTGAGGAGCAGGGTGAGGGGTGTGGGAGCAGGGTGAGGGGTGTGGGAGCAGGGTGAGGGGTGGGGGAGCAGGGTGAGGGGTGTGGGAGCAGGGTGAGGGGTGGGGGAGCAGGGTGAGGGGTGTGAGAGCAGGGTGAGGGGTGGGGGAGCAGGGTGAGGGGTGTGGGAGCAGAGTGAGGGGTGTGAGAGCAGGGTGAGGAGCAGGGTGAGGGGTGTGGGAGCAGGGTGAGGGGTGTGGGAGCAGGGTGAGGGGTGGGGGAGCAGGGTGAGGGGTGTGGGAGCAGGGTGAGGGGTGGGGGAGCAGGGTGAGGGGTGTGAGAGCAGGGTGAGGAGCAGGGTGAGGGGTGTGGGAGCAGGGTGAGGGGTGTGGGAGCAGGGTGAGGGGTGGGGGAGCAGGGTGAGGGGTGTGGGAGCAGGGTGAGGGGTGGGGGAGCAGGGTGAGGAGCAGGGTGACGGGTGAGGGGCAGGGTGAGGGGTGGGGGAGCAGGGTGAGGGGTGGGGGAGCAGGGTGAGGGGTGGGGGAGCAGGGTGAGGAGCAGGGTGACGGGTGAGGGGCAGGGTGAGGGGTGGGGGAGCAGGGTGAGGGGTGTGGGAGCAGGGTGAGGGGTGTGGGAGCAGGGTGAGGAGCAGGGTGAGGGGTGGGGGAGCAGGGTGAGGGGTGTGGGAGCAGGGTGAGGGGTGGGGGAGCAGGGTGAGGAGCAGGGTGACGGGTGAGGGGCAGGGTGAGGGGTGGAGGTTGCAGGGTGTGGGAGACAGGGTGAGGGGTGGGGGAGGAAGGGTGGTTAAGGGCAAGGGAAAAGTCAAGAAAAAAAGGAAAAAAAAAAACTCACTGTAATTCAAATCATTAGTAATTAAACGCCTCTAAACACAAAATAACTGATCAGTTCAATATAAAACACACAATTACCATTAAGTTCAAGAAAAAACACAATATCAATAAATTTCATAAAAAACACACATTATCAACAAGTTTATGAAAAACATTATAAATATCTAATGTTAAAACAGGCAAAACCCTCCCTTTAAACCTCCCCCTAGTATCACACTAAGGGAAGAGTGCTCTAACTGTCGCCTCAAGGAGGCATTTACCCTTCTTCAAACACTCCAGGTGCACTCAACTTACACTCGGGGTCAACCACGTACTAAGAGCCAGGGAAATTCGGGGTAAGAACCATGTATAATATACTCGGGGGGGGGGGGGGGTGTCATGTATACTCTAAATATCTCGATACACTTCAAGATAGCCAGGGTAAACTAGGGGTAAACTCGTGCCAAGTCAATAGTAAACAAAACAAAATTGGGTAACCAATCGTTGATAGTGATATTAATTAATTCTTGGCTTCCAGTCATTGGGCCTAACCACACACACACACCTACGCGGGCCTAACCACACACACCTACGCGGGCCTAACCACACACACACCTACGCTGGCCTAACCACACACACCTACGCGGGCCTAACCACACACACCTACGCGGGCCTAACCACACACACCTACGCGGGCCTAACCACACACACCTACGCGGGCCTAACCACACACACCTACGCGGGCCTAACCACACACACCTACGCGGGCCTAACCACACACACCTACGCGGGCCTAACCACACACACCTACGCGGGCCTAACCACACACACCTACGCGGGCCTAACCACACACACCTACACGGGCCTAACCACACACACCTACGCTGGCCTAACCACACACACCTACGCGGGCCTAACCACACACACCTACGCGGGCCTTACCACACACACCTACGCGGGCCTAACCACACACCCCTACGCGGGCCTAACCACACACACCTACGCGGGCCTAACCACACACACCTACGCTGGCCTAACCACACACACCTACGCGGGCCTAACCACACACACCTACGCGGGCCTAACCACACACACCTACGCTGGCCTAACCACACACACCTACGCGGGCCTAACCACACACACCTACGCTGGCCTAACCACACACACCTACGCGGGCCTAACCACACACACACCTACGCGGGCCTAACCACACACACCTACGCGGGCCTAACCACACACACCTACGCGGGCCTAACCACACACACCTACGCGGGCCTAACCACACACACCTACGCGGGCCTAACCACACACACCTACGCGGGCCTAACCACACACACCTACGCGGGCCTAACCACACACACCTACGCTGGCCTAACCACACACACCTACGCGGGCCTAACCACACACACCTACGCGGGCCTAACCACACACACCTACGCGGGCCTAACCACACACACCTACGCTGGCCTAACCACCCACACACCTACGCTGGCCTAACCACACACACCTACGCTGGCCTAACCACACACACCTACGCTGGCCTAACCACACACATACCTACGCTGGCCTAACCACCCCTAACCAATCCTAACCACACACACACCTACGCTGGCCTAACCACACACCAATGACCACTTAGTCAAGTCTCCTGCCCTCAAACAAACCGTGATAGGCCTCTTTCCCCCCCCCCCCCCCCCCCCCCGTGCACGGGAACAAGCCGTCGAAGTCAATCCTTTGACAATGAGGGCCAATGTGTCTCGTCTACACCTTACCCACCGCAGGGTCCCCGACTCACTAACTCACCCGACGACCTCCTCCTCCCCCCGCAAGGTCATACTCACCCGGCGAGCGGCACTCACCTCTACACTGTGGGGGGTACTTCTGCTGTATGGTGTCGGGGATGAATTTGCCGTCGAGTCTGGCACACCAGCAGTAGAGGGTGAAGTTGTGGCACTGGACGAGGGAGTAGGAGCCGTCGGGCTCGCAGTTGGGCACATATACTTTCTCTCCGTTGGCTAGTTGCTCCAGCTTCGCCGCCCGCTCGTCCAGGCACTTCTCCGCTACTGTACACGTGGAGAAAGGAGGCGCCGTTAGCTTAGCCGTCACAGGAGGCGAGATGTTCAGTAAAGCTATCACACACACACACACACACACACACACACACACACACACACACACACACACACACACACACACACACACACGGGACGCGAACAAGGGGACACAGGTGGAAACTGAGTACCCACATGAGCCACAGAGACGTCAGAAGGAACTTTTTCAAATGTCAGAGTAGTTAGTAAATGGAATGCATTAGGAAGTGATGTGGTGGAGGCTGACTCCATACACAGTTTTAAATGTAGATATGATAGAGCCCAATAGGCTCACGAATCTGTACACCAGTTGATTGATCTGTTGTAACACGGGGTAGGGTTCCTCTACTTATCTTTCCTTCTACTCCCCCTCTACCCGTATTCTTACTTTTTATTCTCTACAAGGGACTCCAAAACTTTTACCAAAGCCAACTCCACGCCACGTGGTCCTAAGACGATTGACCGACTTAGGATTCTACAACCCGTATGACGTGACCTAGGCTTTGAGCAAAACCCTAGAGTCGCCTCCGCCGCCACCACCAGACCAGTAACACAGAGCAATGATCGAGGTCTGGATCGATCATGCGAATTAATCAACCTTGGGGCTTGATCCCCACTATAACCGATGACCTTGAGTGTGGAATAAATTACACGGTAATGATGAATTCCGATTCGATGTTAGAATCGGCGCCCAATACAACTCTGCCTCGTGTGGACCATGTGACCAGGACAAGTTCACATAACACATGGAAATAATAAAATGCAAATTATTAACTAATTAATTTATTAAAAGAAAAACTAAAACAAAATCTAAATATGTTCACTCCCTGTCACTTTAACACTCCCTACTTGACCTGAATGGCAATGAGACTATCCCTATACATAACCATAGCAACTATACCTTGGGCAACCAGCTAGATGTTGGGCTGGTCTTGGGGGAGAGGTAAGATGGGTTGACCTCCCCCAGTTTATCTGGAGTCCACACTGATCTCTCCTCGTCTGGCCTAGCCCAGACTAGAGCATTGTAACCTTCCGCCTAGTCAAAGTTTCACCAAGTTACTAGCAAGGTTTAAGTTATAACAATTAACCTCTGTTGTACTTAATTGATCCAGACTGGTTGAATTATTTTACTGAAATTAAATTACACAAGCATCTAACGGCAGAGCTGTTCCCGATCCCCAAAATGGTTAATTGAACTTTGAGAAATAGTAGACATGTCAACCCTGATGACCTATGACCGCCGGTCACTCCGCCTTACAAGTTAGATCTGATTCGTGACGTCACTGATGGTGACTTAAACTCAATAATTAGAATACTCTTGATATTGTATCCAGTACTATTATACAATACAATTTTAATACAAAATGAATAAAGGCTAATTTCTCTAAATTACTGAATACTATACGATGGTTCATTATACAAAACTATGAACAAAGATGCCCGCCATTTGTGACTCAGACCTGCTAATTCCCAGAGGACTGGGCGTTGAGAGGTCAGGTCCTTACACGACTTCTGGAACCTTCTGGATAATTCTTACAACAGCCTAGTTTGTTACACTGTTGAGAGGTGGGACCAAAGAGCCAGAGCTCAACCCCCGCAAGCACAAATAGGCGAGTACAAATAGGTGAGTACACACACACACACACACACCACAGAATTGGGTCTGGTAGCTGAGCGGATAGCGCGCAGGACTCGTAATTCTGTGGCCCGGGTTCAATTCCCGGACCAGGCAGAAACAAATGGGCAAAGTTTTTTTTACTCCTGATGCCTCCGTTACTTAGCAGTAAATAGGTACCGGGGAGTTAGACAGCTGTTACGGAGCTACTTCCTGGGGGGTTTGTGAGTGGGGAAAAAAAATTAGTTAGTAGTTAGTTACAGTTGATTGACAGTTGAGAGGCGGGACCAAAGAGTCGAAGCTCAACCCCCGCCAGCACACCTCGTTGAGTACACACACACAACCACCACCATCAACAACAGTAACTACTCAACCATCCCATTCCCCAGGCTCCACCATAACTCTCCCCTTCCCCCCCTCCCTCTCTCCCATCTCCTTCAGGTTATCTTGAGATGATTTCAGGGCTTAGCGTCCCCGCGGCCCGGTCCTCGACCAGGTCCTCGACAAAATATGAAAACGATCTAACGAGAAAAGCAAAGACCCAACCAACCAAAACTGCTTCACAGCCACATCGGGAGGGAAAAAGAGCAGTAGAGGAACAAGTGATGAAACTGAGAATAGAGGAGAACAGATACACAGAGAAGGACAAGGAGGTGCGTGAAGAAGTCTATTACAAATTCCAGGTCTTCAAAATAGAGCAAGAAGTAGTCTCTATACTGAGAGAGGTGGTGCTAAAGTAAGCAATCTTGGAGGAATCTTTGGAGCCTATCATAGATTAGGTCCAAAGGAATCTATTGGAGATGAATGTGACAATGGCTCTTGAGTCTGACACTCCCATCGTCGACACTAAAAGAGGGAGCAGAGGCACTACATGTGCCCCACTATAGTGTACAATAGATCACTACAAACAGGAGACCTACCAGAAAGTTCGAAGACAGCTAATGCAGACTTAATATGCAAAGCAAGAAGTATTTAACTACAGGCCCGGTTTCTCTAACGTGTATACCATGCAAGGTGATGTAGAATATCACCTCGCTCTGAGTACTGCGCTGAGTACTTCACATATATTGAAGCTTCCCCTCAAACAGTCTTCATCGACCTAGCAGCAGCTTTTGATACAGCAAACAGAGAAATCATACTGGAACAGCTTGCCGAGCTGGGAATACAAGGAAAATTACTGAAATGGATAAAGGGCTATTTGTCTAATCGAACAGCATATGTTTTGTTTAATGGTGTTAAAAGCACAGAGAGCAAACACTTTGAACTGGGAACTCCACAAGGAGGGATCCTCAGCCCCTTGTTGTTCAACGTTCTGATGCATAAACTTAAAGATCTTCCAACTAATAATGAAGACACTGTCATTTGTTATGCTGATGATATATGTTTACAGGCTGCCACCGAGCCTAGAATGCAAGTTCTGCTCGACGCTTTTGCTACTAGAGCTGAGGAATGTGGCCTCCTTATCTCGGTACAGAAAACTCGTGCCCTCATTCCATGTGGTATTCCACCACCCAATTATCATATAGATGAGCGAGCACTTGAGAACTGCGAGTCTTACAGACACCTTGGTGTCCCCATTAACGACCCTGGGTACCTTTCTTCTCTCAAGAGGAGACTTTGGGAGAGATTAAAGCCCTTGCGGGTCCTTGTTGGTGTCAATCATGGACTTAACGTGAGACTTACTAGAATGTTTTATGTATCATTTATACGCTCTGTGATTGACTACAATACTCTACATCTCACACTGTATACTGACAAGGAGCTGAAATCTCTTGAAATCCACGAGAATAGTTAAAATGAGAGCAGAGTTAAAACTACCGAGGATAAGTGACAGAGTTTTGTCCATTAGCAAAGTTTTCGGCGTAAAAGCGTTAAGTAGATCTTGGCAACACATGAAATTTCAAGTTAAACTTTCTAATATGCAACACTAACCTGAGAAGGTGAAATCTGATTTTGCATTTTGGTTCTACAAGGTAGCCAACGTCATCAAAATATTAAATATGTAGCCAACTCGATATCAAACAACCAATTACTCCATGGGATAACTAGGATCTATCAGTTGATGTTATAAATGCACCCAAGAAAGACAGTGTACACACATCATTAAAGCAGTTAACACTGTGCCGGATGTGCATGGTTATCTTGAGGTTATCTTGAGATAATTTCGGGGCTAGCGTCCCCGCGGCCCGGTTCGACCACCTTACCTGGAGGTGCTGGTCAAGGTAACGACCAGGCTGTCAACCAGGCTGGACGCTGCTGCTCGCAGCCTGACGTATGAGTCACAGCCTGGTTGTTCAGGTATCCTTTGGAGGTGTTCATCAAGTTCTCTCTTGAACACTGTGAGGGGTCTGCCAGTTATGCCCCTTATGTGTAGTGGAAGCGTGTTGAACAGTCTCGGGCCTCTGATGTTGATAGAGTTCTCTCTCAGAGTACCTGTTGCACCTCTGCTTTTCAACGGGGGTATTCTGCACATCCTGCCATGCCTTCTGGTCTCATGTGGTGTTATTTCTGTGTGCAGGTTTGGGACCAGCCCCTCTACTATTTTCCACGTGTAAATTATTATGTATCTCTCCCGCCTGCGCTCAAGAGAGTACAGATTTAGGCTCTTTAGTCGGTCCCAGTAGTTTAGATGTTTTACTGAGTGGATTCTAGCAGTAAAGGATCTCTGCACGCTCTCCAGGTCAGCAATTTCTCCAGCTTTGAAAGGGGCTGTCATTGTGCAGCAGTACTCCACTCTAGAGAGCACAAGCGTTTTGAAGAGTATCATCATCGGTATAGCATCTAGTGTGAACAGTTCTTGTTATCCAACCTGTCATTTTTCTTGCAGTTGTGACGGCTACTTTATTGTGTTCTTTAAAAGGTAAGGTCTTCCGACATGAGTACACCCAGATCCTTTACATTGCCTTTTCGTTCTATGTTATGATTTGCCTGAGTTTTGTACGTGGTTTCCGTTTTTATATTTTCAATTTTTCCGTAGCGCATGAGCTGGAACTTATCTTCGTTAAACACCATATTATTTTCTGTAGCCCATAGAAAGACCTGATCTACATCTGATTGGAGGTTTGCCGTATCCTCTATGTTGCCTACCCTCATGAAGATCCTAGTGTCATCTGCAAAGGATGATACAGTGCTATAGGTTGTGTTCTTGTCTATGTCCGATATGAGGATGAGAAAAAGTACTGGAGCAAGCACAGTACCCTGGGGGACTGAGCTCTTCACGGTTGATGGGTTGGGTTTTATTTTGTTGACTATTACACATTGGGTTCTGTTAGTCAGGAAATTGTAGATCCATCTGCCTATTTTTCCGGTAATTCCCTTTGAACGCATTTTAAGTACAATAACACCATGGTCACACTTG